AATAATAATAATAAATAATAATAATAATAATACTTATCAGTAACTTACTATTAAATGTTTTTTTTTTTTTTTATTACAAAAGAAAGCAACTTTAATTTTTTTTATATTTTTTTCTTTCTTTCTTTCTTAAATCATAACTTATTAATATTACTTTTTTTTTTTAATAAATAATAATAATAATAATAATAATAAATTTAAATAATTTTTTGCGGGAAAAAAAATAAGTTATGCAATTCGTTATAATAAAAAAGTTCGTGATCATTCAATATGGCGTCGTCCCGCGTGTGAAATATCTTTAATAATAAATTTTTTATTAATAATTTATTTCAATTAAGGTTAATAAGAAGAAAAAGGGACTTTATATTATTTCTCTCTCGCTCCCATTTTTTGATTATTATTATTATTATTATTATTATTATTATTATTATTATTATTTATTATTTATTAATCTACATAATAAATCTAATAAAAAAAAATTTATCGTTTAATATGTATCGTGATCGCTTTTTTCAGCCGTAGTCGTCGTGATCGTCGTCGTCGTTCGCGACCGTCACTACCATTATCATCATCATCATCATCATCATCATCATCATCTTAAACGCTATTATTTTCTTATTAACTCGATAGTAGCAGAAGAAGTCAAAAAAAAAAAAAAAAAAAATGTGACTGCGTTTTAAACTTTTTTTTTTTTTATTTATCGTTCACGTTTTATGGTTTAATCAAGGAAACTATTAAAAAAAAAAAAAAAAAATTGGTTTATTACTCGAGTTGTAATGATTACCCCGGCAAACGGTTATAATAATAATAATAATAATAATAATAATAATAATAATAATAATAATAATTTTTAACGGCGTTATTTTGTTTCGTACTTAAACTTAGGTGTCTTCTTTCTTTCTTTCTTCTTTCTTTCTTTCTTTTTTTCTTTTTTTGTTTTAACAATTGGGTTTTTATTATTATTATTAATATTATTATTATTATTAATTTCATTAAAGTCCCCGGGTAAACTTTTATGAAAAATTTTATATTTTATTGATTTTAATTTATTCGAAGAAGAAGAATGAAAAATTTTTTATTAGCGTTTCGAAGAATCGAATTTAGAGCCGATTGAAAAAAAAAATGTTTTGTTTCCGGTAAAAAAATTAAGTTATTAATCGAACTAATTAAGCATGTATATCCGGTTGTTAAAAAGAAAATTATGAAATTTTTCCTAGTCGAAAATAATAATGATGATGATGTTGCATTGAAATGAAATTAATTAATTATTTATTTTGTTTCTGCACATGATAGTGATGATGAATGTTTTTTTTTTTTTTTTTTTTGTAAGCAGTAGAAAAGATTTTTTCGGAAACGATTCTGAGACGGGAAAATTTTTCAGACAAAGGAATTTTCCTAAAAAAAGGGAAAAAAAAACTTAATTACTAAATTAGTACAATTTTTTTTAATATAAAAAAAAAAACTAGCTCTTCACACGGAACATGATCTTAATATCCGTCATTACCAAATATCTCATACCCTGAGGTTGATGACCCCCCAAAAAAAATTATAAAAAAAATTTATGTGACAGTATGTGTGAATGCCGGTGCGTGCGTGCGTGTGTGTGTATGTGCATGTGCGTACATGTGTACATGTATGTGTGCAAGTCAGTACCTGCACGGATAAAAGAAGAAAAAAAAATTTTTTTTTATAATAATAAAAATGTAAACATGTTCCTACTTTTATGAAAAAAAAAAAAAAAAATAATGTAAATGATCTTTTATGCGAGGGCGTTTCTCTCTCTCTCTTCTTCTTCTTTTTCGTGAAATGATGGAAAAATTCTATTTCGGTTTTTTTCAACCCTCTAAAACCCGCCTGGTTGTTTATTACTGTAAAAGGCGAACGGGGGGGAGAGAGAGGGAGGGAAAAAAAAGATTTTCGGGATTAAACGATTTTAGGTTCCCTTGGTTCTCCCCCATTTTTTTTTGTTCTCTCCCTGAAAAAAAAAATAAAAATAATCTTTCGGATTCAAAGGGAATGAACTCAAAAATGTGTTTATCAAAAATTTTCTACGTTCGATGATGGCACATGGAGGGGAGTCTTTAAACACGGTTTTCAGGTTCCCATAAAAATGTTTTGATATTTGAAATTTCGTGGGCGATAACAAAGTTTTCGAATTGAATTGAATGAAATTACGTAACTTCTGTTTAAAAAAAAATTTTTTTTTATGCGCGGAAAAAGGACAGTTTTTTTTTACAACAAAAACAATGGAAAGATGAAAAGATTTGGTTGTTGTTGTTGTTGTTTGCGTTACGTTCTACGATAAGAAACATTAGTAACGAAATGATTTTTAATTCATTAAACAAACAAACAAAAATTGTTGTTTTAAAGTGGAAGAAAAAAAAAAATTAAAAAATAAATTGAATGATGATTGAGTCATGTGTTTGTTTGCAAATGATTATAATAAAATCAATTTAAACCGTAAATACAAACGGAATGTTTGTTGTTGTGTTTGTATTTTAAAGGTTTTTTTGTTTGTTCGGAGTAAGTTGGTTTTTCTGGTTCAAAATATTCTCGCACAGTTTGTAGTGTGCCAACGATGGTTAGAATCTCTCTCTCCCTCTCTCTCTCTCTCTCTCTCTCTCTCTCTCTAACGATGGTTGTACGTTTGTAATTAAAATAATTTAATAGTTTTGTCTGTCGATTGTTATTGTTTCAATAAATAAGAGCGAGCGAGCGATTAAAAAAAAATTTTTTTTAAATGGAAAAATGACCTCTTTATAAATTGTCTCTCTCATATTTGACGCTTCGGCGAATTATTTGTTTAGTCTATACGTCTGACACGAAGAAAAAAATTTTTTTTTTTTTTTTTTTTCGGTTGTTGGTAAAACCGAATTTTTTTAAAAGACGAACGAAAAATTCACTGCCTCGAACGAAATTAACGGTTTTTTTTTTTTTTTGCTCCGCGAAATGGCTTCGAGCCGTGAAGTCAATTATGTATTTAGTACCCGAAGCGCCAAATTTTTTCTATCTCTCTCTCTTTTAGGTTTTATTCGGGGGGGGGGGAAGAAATGTAATTAGAAAAGAATCCTGCGATTTTTATTTTCATTTCGTACTTTTCGATAGGATGACATCCTCGATGTCTTTTCTCGATTATTTATTTTTTAACGTTATGTTGTTGGACGAATCATTTTTGCGTGTTGTTAATAACTATTTTATTTATTTATTTATTTTTTTATTAAACATTTATCGTTATCATTATTATCATAATTGCGTACCCTGTGAAACACGTTTGTTGTACCACGAGAATTCGGTCACTGTAATAATAATAATAATCCTTTTTATATACCGTTTGAACGGACACGAATTTTTTTTAATAATAAGATAAAAAAAAATTTTTGTACGACAGAAATTTTTTACGACTTTTCTTTTTATGTGAAAAAATGGGGGGAGGAGGAAGGGGGAAAACAGTTTAAGAAATTTTTTTTTTTTTTTTTTTGCTTTGTTTCGAAAAAGGAAAATTTTGTAAGAAAAGAAGGGGGGAAAAGTTTTAATAAATACAATTTGATGTTTTTTTTTTTTTTTATGTATATAAAAATAAATTTTTTATAAATAGAATTTTACTGATGTTATTATTATTATTATTATCATTATTATTATTAATTCTAATACGTGAAAATTTCAAGATATCGAACATTTTGGAAAATCCTTTAATAATAAATTATTTTACATTTCCTGTTTATTCGTTAAATTTTTTATTATTATTTTTGTCGTCGCCAATAAATTTTTAATAATAAATTTTTTATTTTTTTAAAGTGCATTTTCTAACGGGGGGGGGTGGAAGGGGGCGGAAGTGGCGGGGGTATCGAACGAACGACTTTTTATTTTAACTTAATCTGGTAAACGGGATTATACGGTTGGCAAATGACGACGTTTTTTTTTTTTTTTTTTTTTTTTTTTAAACTGTTTCTTGTTATTTTCCACCTGTTTTAATGGTCGTCGTACTTCATCGATCGATCGATCAATCGATCGATGGATCGTACGATCGATTAAACATAATTTTTTTATTAGTATTATTATTATTTTTTTAGTAGCCTCTAGTACGATAAAATAATAATTTTTTTTCTTATTTTTATTTTGCTTTGTTTCAGATCGATTACGGGGTTTAATTGTCGGAAAAATAGGTGAGTCGGTTTTATTATCGTCATAATCATCATCATCATCATCATCATCATCATCATCATCATCATCGTCATCATTGACGACGACAAAACCGTTTTTTTCTCCTCCATCTGTTTTGCAAAATTAAATTTTTCAAAGTCCTAAATGTGTGCATTGACCTCCTCCCCCTTCTATTTTACCCTTCCACTCGTTTTTTCTTCTATTTTATTATTATTATTATTATTATAAATAATTGTTAGGAAAAAAAAAATGTCGAAACATATGTTATGGACCTCGTTCTTCGAGGAGATCGGTCTTGCTGATTTGTAGTATGCTCGCAGTTGATTCGGATATTTAATATAATAAGTAGACAATTTCTACCTGATGTATTATATTAACCAAATATACTACTTGTTACACTACTTTATCAGTAAAAACACTAAATGTAAAGTAAACGGAAATAGAATCTGATGCTCTTGAATCCAACCTAAGATGCACTGACTGTCCCCAACGTTATGCGATAGACACAACCAGGCAGACTCTGACTGACGGACGGATGTCGAAAGACCAAAATGTGGTGCCGAGGCCCACTATTTATATGAAGACCAAAACAATCGATGCATCTGTTGCACTTGAAGAAGTTAATTAGTCAATCATCCCCTTCTTAAGGGATGAATATAATCCTTGCTCGTTAATCCAACTTAATGGGAAAAACGTGATCTTAGAACGTTGAGAGAACAAATAAATGTTCACATTAAATAAATCATATTAATATTAAACAGATGCCCTCGTTGGTGATCAGATTTCGTTGGGATCACAACACCTTCCCCCTTAAAAGGAAACAAATTTTTTTTTTATATTAATTAGGTTAAAATTTGTTTTTGTTTTTCTTGAACTTTTTGGTAATTTCTCTTCTTTTCTTCTTCTTGTTTATTCTTTGATTGATTAGACTCATTTTTAAATCTTAAGCACTCTTCAGGTGTATCTTTGTGTAATCCCTTTGTGAGAATCTTGATTTTACAAGATTTTAGCGAAGACATATGCGTTACTTTTTCGCATAGATATTCCAAGTGAGTTGTCAGTCCAGACAAATTGAGGTTTTCCCAGTAATGGAATTTTTTTTCATTGCTCATTAGAGGTAAAGGACTTGAGGTTGGATAAAAGAATAATTTTTTGATACATTTCCTCTGATAGGAATAGGAAGTGTTTTACATAAAAATTTTTATAGGATAATGTATTAGTGGATGAATGATATGTTGCCGTGCAAACAGAATTGTACATTATTTTTAATATTACTAATACATTTGTGTCATTTGAATTTTTGTTTTATATTATTAGTATAGTAGTTTATTAATATTTTTCGTGAGTCGTTTATTGTCAGTTCCTTCGTTAGGGAACTTGGAATTAAAGGTTTTTATCACCAGTTAAAGATTTATTAAGGTACTATCCCAAGGAGGAGTGGACGTAAGAGTTACAAGAAGATTTAGCGAAGGATATAAATTCGTCCACTTGTTTTACTTTTTTATTTATTTA